AGAAAGAAAGAGAAAGAAGAAGGCAGAGAGAAAGGGGAGAGAGGGGTGAAGATGGAAGGGAGAGAGGTGGACAGAAGGAAGGCAGGAAGGAAGGGCAGAAGTGGATGGAAAGATGGATAGAAAGAAGAGAGGGAGATGGATGTGAAGGGAGGAGGCAAGAGGGAGGGGAAAGGAAGGAAGGAAGGAAAAGAAAGAAGAAAGAAAAAGAAAGAAAGAGAGAAGAGAAAGGGGAGCGAGAAAGATGGAAGGAAGGGGGAAAGGAGGGGATGAATGGATGGATGGAAGGAAGGGAGGAATGGAGAAAAGAAAGAAGAGGGAGATGGATGGGAAGGAAGGGAGGAAGGAAAGAAAGAAAGAGAAGGAAGAAGGCAGAGAGAAAGGGAAGGGAGGGAGATGGATAGAAAGAAGGAAGGGAGTAATGGAGAAAAGAAGGGAGGGAGAAAAGGAAGGAAGGAAGGAAAAGAAAGAAGAAAGAAAAAGAAAGAAAGAGAGAAGAGAAAGGGGAGCGAGAAAGATGGAAGGAAGGGGGAAAGGAGGGGATGAATGGATGGATGGAAGGAAGGGAGTAATGGAGAAAAGAAAGAAGAGGGAGATGGATGGGAAGGAAGGGAGGAAGGAAAGAAAGAAAGAGAAGGAAGAAGGCAGAGAGAAAGGGAAGGGAGGGAGATGGATAGAAAGAAGGAAGGGAGTAATGGAGAAAAGAAGGGAGGGAGAAAAGGAAGGAAGGAAGGAGGAGAGAAGGAAGGCATAAAGCATTGACTTTACTTAAGTGGCATTGTTATTTTATTATCCCCTTTTTATCTACGGCCTGTCAATCCCGCCAGCATTTTTTAAATCCTCCCAACCGCCCCCGCAAAGAAGCTTTGAGAGGGAAAAAGTGATTAAACTGGTTCTTATCATTATTTATAGTCCAAAGATCACATTTACATCCTGACCCTGCCGATCAAGGCCAACGTTCCCAACGGCTCCCTTCCTGATGCTTTCCAGCTGGAGCTAGAAGAGAGATTTGGCAGCACATCCATGCAAGACATAACATTTATCTTGAAAAAAGCTCAGCCGTGCAGCTTCTGGCTTGGAATTCTGGGAGTTGTAGTTTTCCTCCTCCCGTGAAAGCCATGTTTTTCAACCTCCGTCCCTTTAAGAGGGGCAGACTTCAACTCCCAGAATTCCCCAGCCAGCCTCTAGTACTATATTATAATACTGTACTATACGAGCACTATATTATACTAATACTATACTAGTACAATACTATACTAATACTATACTATAGTATACTATAACATACTATACTATATCAATACTATACATACCATACCAGACTATATTACACCATACTAGTACTATACTAATACTATACTAGCATTATACTATACTAATACAATACTATACTAGTACAATACTATACTATAGTATATTATACCATACTTATACCATACCAATACTATACCATACCAGACTATACTATAACATACTAGTACTATACTAATACTATACTAGTACAATACTATACTAATACTATAATATATTATACTATACCATACTATACTATACCAATACTATACCATACCATACCAGACTATATTACACCATACTAGTACTATACTAATACTATACTAGCACTATACTATACTAATACTATACTCGCATTATACTATACTAATACTATACTAGTACAATACTATACTAATACTATAATATATTATACTATACCATACTATACTATACCAATACTATACCATACCATACCAGACTATATTACACCATACTAGTACTATACTAATACTATACTAGCACTATACTATACTAATACTATACTAGCATTATACTATGCTAATACTATACTAGTACAATACTATACTAATACTATACTAGTACAATACTATACTA